GCCAGGCATACTAAAACCAAGATGTCGTGTGGGCACATGCCAGACATCATATATTGCGTTTGCAAACACACGCAAAGTCGTTAAACAGCTTAAAACGGGCTAAAAAGTAGACAGCACCCGGACTTCCCCGGTGGTCACCCACCCGAGTACTACCCGAGCTTGAGGCTGCTTAACTTCACAGAGAAACAAATTGCATTACACTTTTTATCCAGCAAAATACCTAGCTACTTGATCTTGTCGAACTAAATTTCTAGTGCACATAGACTGTAGGTGTGGGGAAGTCATCGACGGGGTGGGCGCTGAGGGCCGTGGAGGCAAACTGAACGCAAGTGAGGGCATACAAACTACAAGTCACAGTCATGACTCGACTTGTAACCCTTACTTCCAACCGAGATGCAGATACCGGGCCAGATGTATAGGGTGGGAATTGAGAAATTAACACGCGCTTTGGTGCAGTGAAAATGACTGAGGTATCCATGTTGGATACTGAGGGTTCGTGTCCCTCCGTGAACATACTTTTCCAAGGGTATACCAAATGTATAGTCGGCGTATACCATCGTATAGTATACAGATTTGGGCCCGACAATCGAGAATGGCTTTCAGTCTTAAATTTCTCAGGTGGGGCGCAGGTGTGCCTTACTTCTTCGGCAAAGTGCGATTTCTACAGTACCGAAACCAGCACTAGAGGACTGACAAAGGCGTGTGAGGGCAGGGCCCGCTGCGTCGCCGTCATAACATGGTCGCTTGAAAGGGGCTGGTAGGTGTAGTGGAGCGCGAAGTACGATACCATCGCTATCGAAGCCAGCAGTGGAGGACCGACAAAGGCGTGTGAGGGCAGGGCCCGCTGCGTCGCTGTCACAACATGGTTGCTGGAAAGGGGCTGGTGGACATGGTGGATGGGTCGTGGCATAGTGATTCGATTCTTGACGTTGAAGGCAGTGGGTTGTGTAGCTTGCTACTCGCCGCAGCATTCGAGTTGGGGGTCGTCAGTGGCAGCTGGCGGTGGGATTATAACAGAGATCCCAAGGGTTGTTACGAGTCTTTGCAGATGTCGGCGTTGACACCCGGAGTGGCTCAGGGTCTTGAGGAGAAGGTCCTGATAGTAGCGCTCAACGTGGAGTGAAACGACAGCCTTGATCCGAGCCTGAACGTCTATCAGGTTGGAGGAGAGTCATGGAAGCGGATATCGGTCCGGTGCATCCACAAACACCGCAGAACCACAGCCCGGACGATATGAAGGATCACAAAGAGGCTGTAGCCATACTGGTCTTGGCAGAGGGCGTAGGCGTGATCTTGAACCAGAGGAGTGATTCCCACTCTAGTGAAGACGTGAAGAGGCGTTGGAACGTGGGAATCCAGTCGTTCCACACTCGCGCGGCGAAGTCGCAGTACCAAAAGAGATGGGGCGCGGTCTCCAGCACTCCACAGTCATGATGGCACAAGCGCTGTGCTTCTTGAATATGCTGAAGCCGGTAGCCGAAGAAGAGAGCGTTGTGTTGAAGCCGATACAGAAGATCCGAATAGACGGGCAGGACGTGCTTCCCCATCTTGATGTCACGTATCCACATCGATTGCGGAGGCCCTCTTTCGACACCTAGGCGGAAAAGGGGGAGATCGTGGGTTGGAGCGGTGACTAGGGTGTTCCGGATACGAGCAACGCTAAGTTCCGCCACTTCGTAGGTGTCAAACACCCACGTATGAGACGCAGCGTAGTATCGCACCGTCTGGCTAGGGCCAATTGGGGGTATCGTAAGCGAACCCAATAGACGACCTGCCTTATCCAGAAAGTTGAAGCAGGATCGCACACTGGAGATCCTCCCCGTGACGAATCGGCTAAGATATTGCGATAGCGTCTCGGCTGTCAAAGGGGTTTCACAGGCGCGGAAAAGCTCCAGTGGTCGAAGAATACCTTGCTCTGCCAGGATGGCGATTAACCCCAGTGGACGAGACGTTCCAGCCAGGGTACTACCTCGGTAGCTGTAGGCGATATCCGCGTTTTCCAGCAGAGGTGTCGTCATCTTGTCAAACTTGACTTGGAGTCGAGCGGCTTTCCCGCGAAAGTGGGTGTTCCAAGTGAAGAGCACGAAGTGCCAGTAGGCCCCGAGAGCAGTCCAGCGGGGAGATTGACGGGAGATCACGTAGTCCGGACTGGTAGACACAGGCGCGTACAGGATATCGAAGTCCCGTCCCCAGGGGGCTACAGCTAGGTCAAAGAGACGAATAACCGGTTCCGCCCAAGAAGGAATGGCCGTTGCTGGAGGGATTCTCCCAGCAAGAATCACCTTGCAGAGCATGTGCAGCTGCAGACTCTTAATCATGTCGCAAATGGGCGTAATGCAAATCCACCGTTGTGTGGAGGAAGGAACCACCAGGCTCTAGGCAGAGCGTTGGAAGACCTGAAACGGCAGATGAAGCGCGATATTAGCTGGAGAAGCTGGTCTTGGAATCCGGTCTGGGGGATATGGCAGACACTGGATGTGTACCACAGAACAGGCAGAATGACCTGCTGCAGTATCACCACTTGCCCTCTCAAGGTTCGGGCTCGGTGCAGCCAGAGTGAACACCTGGTCTTCATCTCGAAGAGAAAGTGTTGTAGTCGGTCGGCGTCGCTGAGGTTTGGACCGTAGAAGATTCCGAGTAGCTTGGTGCGTCCTGTGTTCCCGACTACAATCACCCCCACATCGATTAAGGCGTGGCTCAATGGCTCAGTCTCAGCTGTCCACGGTTGAAAGGGAAGGACCACAGTTTTATCCTTGTTCAAGCTCATGCCTGAAGCCACGCAGAAGTCGTCTACCAAAGCGAGGAAGAACTTGGTATGGCTGAGATCGTACAGAAGGCCAGTACAGTCATCAGCGAAGCTAATCACTGAGTGTGTAATGGACCCACTGCGTAGTCCGACTTCGCGAAGTCTGACCCGAAGGAAATTGAGCAGGGGTTCGATAAAGAGCACGAATAGTGCTGGCGAGAGAGGATCACCTTGGCGGACACCGGCCCCTAGCTCAAAGGGGTCCAGAGGTGGCCATTAAACATGAGTGAGACCAAGAGTTCCAGGGAACAGGACTCTGACCCAGCGTCTGAAGGAGTCACCGAGCCCGAAATGCATCAAGACCATGTCCAGTGCGTCCCACACGACACTGTCAAAGGCCTTCGCGAAATCAAGCAGAACTGCACCGGCCGGTGAGTGATCATCAGCGAGCAGCTGAGATAGCGCTTGGAACCGCAGATGAGCATGGCGGATATCACGTCCGGGCACAAACTCATATTGGTCCGAGTGAAGAAGGCTTCCCAGAGCCGAGCCAAGCCGATAAGCCAGGATTTTAGGCCCCAACTTGGCGTCGACATTGAGCAGCGAGATTGGTCGGTAGTTACTGGGGAGCTTGCGATCGCCTTTCTTGTACAATAGCAAGACTTGAGCACGCCGTTAAAACTTGGTCATTCTCCCACGCTGGAGCTGAGCAGCGTACACTACCTCAAGTATACGGCTCCAGAGAGGTAAATCAACCTTGTAATACTCAACTGGTAAGCCATCCGGTCCGGGGGTCTTTCCAGTGGAAGTATGGGATAATGCCCAGTAGAACTCATTCGCCGTGAAGGGGCTGTTCAAGTAAGCCTGGGCTTCCGACGTATGGCGTGTCCGGGTATGTTGGTGTATCTGGGAGAGCTTGATGCGGTCCCATTTGGGCTTGTGGTGCCCAAATTCTTGCGAAGGCGAGCAGTAGATACGAGACCAGTACGAAGAGAAGGCCGTGCAGGTGGATTCTAGTTCTTCAGCCGAATCCACAGGAATAGGAGTTTTGTGGAGTACTTGGGGCGGCCGGAAGAAGGGTTTGGAGCAACGCTCAGAGCTATCCAAGTCGGAGGCGAATTTTTGCTTGGACGCGTAGTAGGCTTGTTCTTCCAGGTTTTCGTTGAGGGCAGCTTTGGCAGCTGCGATGCGTTCAGAGTAATCAGCTGGCTCTGTGGCTTGCGAGTATTGTAGCCCGTTCACTCGTAGGTGAAGATATTCAAGTACCCGCTGGCGCTCATTTTTCTTGGAAAGGAAGAGCTCGCGGAGAAATATTGAATCGCTCCGTTTGTGCTCATCCAAGAGGCAACCAGGGCTGTAAGCTTTTCAACTGGGGGACCGGAAGGAGGTTGCTAGCTCGCTCAGTGAGCTCAGCAGGTGTTCTTGGGCTTCGGGTAGCTGGATGACCCAGGGCGGGCACTTCCACGGGGCGCGCGTGGGAGGCTTGAAGCAGGATGAACCTAGCCGAAATGAGATTCCAGCGTGGTCACCTTTGCCTGCCACCCCACGAAAGTCGTGCCTAACATCTTGGACTGCGGAGTGGAAAAGCCTAGAGCTAACGAGCACGTAGTCAATCCGAGAACTGCTGTTGGGGCTAGTAAACTCCTGGAGTTCGGGGTGTTGAAGGCGCCAAGCGTCGACCTAGTGTAATTCGCTCATCCATCCTAGCAGAGCGTCGCGCCCTTGGACACGATTTCTGTCGCCTTGTCGAGCTTAGTCAAGCTGACTGGAAAGGACGGTATTCAGATCCCCTAACACAATGTGGTGGGAGTCGTCTTCAAAGGTGCGGGGGAGGGTAGCGAAAAACTCCGCCCGCTGGCTTGGCTGGACTGGGGCGTATGCCACGTGTATGTAGGTCGCAACGGAGTCCAGGGCGCCGCGCACTAGCAAGTACCGAGGCATCAGGTCCGAAGAGCTGACATGCCGGCGCGTGACGTCTTGTAGGTTTCGTACGGGACAAGATGGCGTAAGTAGTAAGCCCACATCGGCCTGCCCCGTATAGGTGGTCATGTTATCTTGTGACCAGAAGCTGGAGTTTAGCCGGGAGGCTGTGCTCTAGTGGTGTTTTGCTCTTTTGAAGCTTTTGATACCCGTAAACTTGGTCTCTTGAAGTCCCACAAGGTGGAAGTTATTCGAGAAGAAGTTCAGGGTACGCTGCGTGACATTATTCAAACCATTCGTGTTGAGAGAGAACCCTCTCAGGGCCCGCTGCATATTAGAGGCGAGTGGGAAGAGATGTAACCACCGAGGCGGCCTGTTCGCAAAGGTACTCAATCGTAGAGCGAAGGTCAGTTGGGAGAGGCCCAGCCACAATGCGGTCCATCAAGGGCGATATTATTACGTTGGCAAGGGTCGAGTCACCCCAACGAAACCACAGAGGGTGAGGTAGTGCCGATGCTGCCTTCCCTGTCACCGCACTCAGCTTAAGGGGATCCGCATAGATACTGGGTGCAATGATCTGCAGCGCCAGGTCAGCTTCAGCCAGCCGTAACTTGAGCCAGTATTGGGACTGGTCTGAACACAGTTGCCCTAATATGGTCTGGAAATCGAAGTCATGCTGGTTGGGGTAAAGCGTGGAGAGCCGGCCAGACACGCTGCCTTCATCTTCCGACGGATAGACTTGAGAGGACAACTCTCGAAGAACGACGTGTCCAAAGGCCTTGGAACGGATGTGGTGGAAGTTGCTCACCGCCTTGGAGCCTAACAGGACGCGGTGAAGACTAGGTTGGGCATGCACCGTTGACAGCACAGTATCCGGGTCCATCGCAGAGCTAAACGATCCCAGAAAGTCCTCAATAACGGCGCAGAGTTCCTGAAGGGAGAGTTGTTCAACGTTGCCTTGATAGACAGCCGCATTGAGCACGCTCTCAGTCACTTCTGATAGCCCCACATAGGAGGCTACGGACTGCGGCGGGTCGTTCGACCTGTCCCAGAGGATGAGATCTTGGTCCGGCGGTATAGGTCCGTTCGCACCTTCACTCAGCCACTCGTACGAATTAAATGACGCGATCGTCGGGTATTCCTGCTGCGACGGAGGAAGACGTTGAAGGTCGACCGCCGGGTCAGCAATAGTACCAAATACCATGGTCTTCGCCCGTTTGATACGGGCTGGCGTGAAGTCGGTGGCCTGAATAGAGCCAACCGGGAAAGTTGGTACCGTTTCGTGGGGCCAGACCGATTTGGGTCGAGCCACGACAGCGGCCTCAATACCATCCATGGTACAGGACTCCTCATCAGAGTGGTCCCCACTATGTGACTCACCCTCTGAGGCTGAGTCGTCAACTATTGCGGCACCTTCGCTGGTATCGCTGGAGTTGTCAAACGCCGGTGGGATGCTGCCTGTGTCGTCTGCTTCGGAGGCTGGCGATACAGGCTTGGACAGGCGAGTCTGTCGTCCTTTTTCGCAAAGTACCTTGATGAAAGGTGGAATGACGCTATTGTAGGCGCGGTTTCGATGGTGCACCACCGAGTAGCCTTGACCCGTGAACTGGATCTGGCGGAGCGGGGTGCGTTTATCTAGCATCACTGATGCCGGGGGCAACTTTTGGTTAAAGTAGACTCGTCGACTGCGCGAGCGGAGACCACCTACAACATGAGCCGGCGTGATGTACACCGGTGGCTGACCCTTGTTGGCAAGCCAGTCGTAGATAAGTCCATCCGTTGCGTCGTCGGGCAGGCGTTGAAGGTCCACGTAGTACCAATGAGAGTACTTAGAATACGGTTGGACTTTGAACTTGCGGCCACAAATAGTCACAGGTTCTCCCCCCAATTTCGTACAGATATCACGGTCGTCACACTGGAAACTAATACCAGCATTTCGGATGGTCTTGAAGTCCCGAAGATGTCCGAGGTTGGACGTCCACGTCGTCGTTTGGGGCGTAGATCCCATCGAAGTCATAATCTCTGTATCCGAGAAGGTGGCAGTGAGTTCCCTGGCAGGGATCCACATCGGTAGGAGCAGCTCGGGGCGACATCCTGGGGCGTACCCGTGAGTGCCGCGAAGCGCTTGTCTGCGGGGGTGCGGTCGGGGTCCAGCATAACGCTTTCGGCGTTCTCAAAGACGGCGTCTTGAGGTCGCGAGAATTCGGCGCGGGATGCAGCATTTTGCCACGCCTGACGCCACTTTTTATCCCGTTGAGGTCCGGTCATGACCTTGGTGGGTGCGGTGCTTGACCCGAAGAGGGAAGGAAGCTTGGGTAGGCTATAACGAGGTCCGGCAGGCGGAATCGCGTTAAGGCAAGGGCTAGCTGAGGGAAGCGAAGGAGCGAGCTTGGGCCCGTCTCTTGTTCACTTCAAGGGTAGCTGGCAAATTGCGGAATGCTTAACTTCACAGAGAAACAAATTGCATTACACTTTTTATCCAGCAAAATACCTAGCTACTTGATCTTGTCGAACTAAATTTCTAGTGCACATAGACTGTAGGTGTGGGGAAGTCATCGACGGGGTGGGCGCTGAGGGCCGTGGAGGCAAACTGAACGCAAGTGAGGGCATACAAACTACAAGTCACAGTCATGACTCGACTTGTAACCCTTACTTCCAACCGAGATGCAGATACCGGGCCAGATGTATAGGGTGGGAATTGAGAAATTAACACGCGCTTTGGTGCAGTGAAAATGACTGAGGTATCCATGTTGGATACTGAGGGTTCGTGTCCCTCCGTGAACATACTTTTCCAAGGGTATACCAAATGTATAGTCGGCGTATACCATCGTATAGTATACAAATTTGGGCCCGACAATCGAGAATGGCTTTCAGTCTTAAATTTCTCAGGTGGGGCGCAGGTGTACCTTACTTCTTCGGCAAAGTGCGATTTCTACAGTACCGAAACCAGCACTAGAGGACTGACAAAGGCGTGTGAGGGCAGGGCCCGCTGCGTCGCCGTCATAACATGGTCGCTTGAAAGGGGCTGGTAGGTGTAGTGGAGCGCGAAGTACGATACCATCGCTATCGAAGCCAGCAGTGGAGGACCGACAAAGGCGTGTGAGGGCAGGGCCCGCTGCGTCGCTGTCACAACATGGTTGCTGGAAAGGGGCTGGTGGACATGGTGGATGGGTCGTGGCATAGTGATTCGATTCTTGACGTTGAAGGCAGTGGGTTGTGTAGCTTGCTACTCGCCGCAGCATTCGAGTTGGGGGTCGTCAGTGGCAGCTGGCGGTGGGATTATAACAGAGATCCCAAGGGTTGTTACGAGTCTTTGCAGATGTCGGCGTTGACACCCGGAGTGGCTCAGGGTCTTGAGGAGAAGGTCCTGATAGTAGCGCTCAACGTGGAGTGAAACGACAGCCTTGATCCGAGCCTGAACGTCTATCAGGTTGGAGGAGAGTCATGGAAGCGGATATCGGTCCGGTGCATCCACAAACACCGCAGAACCACAGCCCGGACGATATGAAGGATCACAAAGAGGCTGTAGCCATACTGGTCTTGGCAGAGGGCGTAGGCGTGATCTTGAACCAGAGGAGTGATTCCCACTCTAGTGAAGACGTGAAGAGGCGTTGGAACGTGGGAATCCAGTCGTTCCACACTCGCGCGGCGAAGTCGCAGTACCAAAAGAGATGGGGCGCGGTCTCCAGCACTCCACAGTCATGATGGCACAAGCGCTGTGCTTCTTGAATATGCTGAAGCCGGTAGCCGAAGAAGAGAGCGTTGTGTTGAAGCCGATACAGAAGATCCGAATAGACGGGCAGGACGTGCTTCCCCATCTTGATGTCACGTATCCACATCGATTGCGGAGGCCCTCTTTCGACACCTAGGCGGAAAAGGGGGAGATCGGGGGTTGGAGCGGTGACTAGGGTGTTCCGGATACGAGCAACGCTAAGTTCCGCCACTTCGTAGGTGTCAAACACCCACGTATGAGACGCAGCGTAGTATCGCACCGTCTGGCTAGGGCCAATTGGGGGTATCGTAAGCAAACCCAATAGACCACCTGCCTTATCCGGAAAGCTGGCGCAGGATCGCACACTGGAGATCCTCCCCGTGACGAATTGGCTAAGATATAACGATAGCGTCTCAGCCGTCACAGGGGTTTCACAGGCGCGGAAAAGCTCCAGGGGTCGAAGGATACCTTGTTCTGCCAGGATGGCGATTAACCCCAGTGGACGAGACGTTCCAGCCAGGGTACTACCTCGGTAGCTGTAGGCGATATCCGCGTTATCCAGCAGAGGTGTCGTCATCTTGTCAAACTTGACTTGGAGTCGAGCGGCTTTCCCGCGAAAGTGGGTATTCCAAGTGAAGAGCACGAAGTGCCAGTAGGCCCCGAGAGCAGTCCAGCGGGGAGATCGACGGGAGATCACGTAGTCCGGACTGGTAGACACAGGCGCGTACAGGATATCGAAGTCCCGTCCCCAGGGGGCTACAGCTAGGTCAAAGAGACGAATAACCGGTTCCACCCAAGAAGGAATGGCCGTTGCTGGAGGGATTCTCTCAGCAAGAATCACCTTGCAGAGCATGTGCAGCTGCAGACTCTTAATCATGTCGCAAATGGGCGTAATGTTCAATCCACCGTTGTGTGGAGGAAGGAACCACCAGGCTCTGGGCGGAGCGTTGGAAGACCTGAAACGACAGATGAAGCGCGATATTAGCTGGAGAAGCTGGTTTTGGAATCCGGTCTGGGGGATATGGCAGACACTGGCTGTGTACCACAGAACAGGCAGAATGACCTGCTGCAGTATCACCACTTGCCCTCTCAAAGTTCGGGCTCGGTGCAGCCAGAGTGAACACCTGGTCTTCATCTCGAAGAGCAAGTGTTGTAGTCGGTCGGCGTCGCTGAGGTTTGGGCCGTAGAAGCTTCCAAGTAGCTTGGTGCGTCCTGTGTTCCCGACTACAATCATCCCAAGATCGACTAAGGCTTGGCGCAATGGCTCAGTTTCAGCTGTCCACGGTTGAAAGGGAAGGACCACAGTTTTATCCTTGTTCAAGCTCATGCCTGAAGCCACGCAGAAGTCGTCTACCAAAGCGAGGAAGAACTTGGTATGGCTGAGATCGTACAGAAGACCAGTACAGTCATCAGCGAAGCTAATCACTGAGTGTGTAGTGGACCCACTGCGTAGTCCGACTTCGCGAAGTCTGACCCGAAGGTAATTGAGCAGGGGCTCGATAAAGAGCACGAATAGTGCTGGAGAGAGAGGATCACCTTGGCGGACACCGGCACCTAGCTCAAAGGGGTCCAGAGGACGGCCATTAAACATGAGTGAGACCAGAGTTCCTGCTTAATTTCACAGAGCAGACGGGATATGGTGCTTTCAGCCTAAGATGGCCGTCTACATTTGACTTTGACCGACACGCCTATTAGTGTTTACCACTCGTTTACATTGGTACAACACATTTACACACTCACATGTCCACATACGTGGCCATAGACTGCACACGGTGGCCCCCAATACCCCTTCTGGCCCTCAGAATTGGCTGGGTGGATGGCTACACTTTATGTAGTCACAAAACACAACGGGGGGTGGTGTGGCGCACTCCAATACAAACGTGTGGCCATCAGCTCACTCCTACAACGCAGCATACGTATTCTCTCCGATAGGAACCCCACACAGACCGACACCTTCATACACAGCAGTGCAGATAGCCGCCGCACCCCATATTCGCGCATACGCGGCCTGAAAACAATGTTAAACCACCTAAGTGGCCATTTACGACTTGCACAACCATACCTACGCTTCCTATGCGACATGACATGTGCACGTACGCGGCTTAACCAATATGAACACCTTCGACATCTTCATACATGCACAGCGCGCGCTCCGCTTAAGTACGACACCAACTTGTCATATACATCATGCGTTTCCTCCCGTCACCTTTCATCACCTCCATATCCACACCCATGCGCCGTCACCTTCATCGCGCCATCACCTTCACCATTTTCACCTCCATATCCGCGCTTCCTCCGCCGTCACCTTCCGCGTACGCGTCCATATTCGCTGCGTTTCCTCGCGCTTCCTGCCTGTTATTATTCCGAGCCAAAAACATCTCCAAACCCATACAATTAGAACAGCAAACAACTTCGCATTTTTAACAAAGTCCTCAGCTTCATTTTGCATACTTTATCCTAGTCTAATTCGCGCTATTCCGCTCTCTTTAACATACTTAAACCAAGTCTAATTCACGCTATTCCGCTCTCTTTTAACATGCTTAAACCAAGTCTATTTCATGCTATTCCGCTCTCTTTAACATACTTAAACCAAGTCTAATTCACGCTATTCCGCTCTCTTTTAACATACTTAAACCAAGTCTATTTCATGCTATTCCGCTCTCTTCAACATAGTTAAACTAAGTCTATTTCATGCTATTCCGCCCCCTTTTAACATACTTAAACCAAGTCTAATTTTACGCCCTGCCGTCTAACTTGCCCTGTTAAACCCCCGTACTAAAATCTCCGAATTTGGCTCAGAAATCATTAGCGCTGGCACTTAGCGATTTTCACGCAAAGTGTTTCTCGCTTTCTGCCTGTTATAAACCCGATATTAAAGTCGCCGAATTTGGTTCGGAAAACAATAGCAGCGGCACTTAGCGATTCTTGCGAACAAACCTCATTAAGCCAAAACAAAGCCTTTGACGATCTTAAGCTTAACAGTATTGACTCTCTACCAGCACTTTGACCGGCGGTACCTCTTGGACTATGTACGCAATCGTAGAAAGCGTCAACATTCGCAAAATGTTGACTCGCAGACGTACTAATATATCTTTGCATCTCGAAAGTGATCAGCATTTGCTCGATTTCGTCCGAAGCTAGTGAATACCAGGTGCCCCTGGTACCATGTTAGCAAGCTCAATCAGACCAAGCATGGCCAGCACCGATGCTAGCTCCAACCACGTCAGGAAACTCGCAACAAGGTCAGGGCCCAAATGTCGTCGACACGAAGTATTGACCAGCGCCAATAGCAACTTGACACCGTCAACAACCAGAGCCAGCGGCATCTCGCTGGCGTCAGCAACCAGATCTACTGTACAGCAGACCAACATCTCGGTCCCGCCAATAATCCTAGTGGCATCCCGACGCCGCCAATAACTAGCAGCAGCAATACCGAGATGTCGGTCCCGCTCATCGGCAGTCCTTTTGCAGGCGTGGCAGAAGTGACTATCGTACGCAGCAGCATCTCGACGCCCGTGACCGGCTCGGTCAATGACCAGGCTCAGCAGTATGGTGTTGGCTTACATGACCAGCGGCATCCTCTCAACGACCTCGTAGGTCAGAACGATTAATGTCACCGCAGCGTCAGTGTTGGCTTACTTCAGCTGAGCCAACACTCACGGGTCGACACTGAGAATAAACTGCGCGAGGCATTCGCAATGCATGTGTCCAGGCAAGTCAAAAGGGCCTATGTGGATGTTATGTGCAATTTTTCAGTAAATTAAATAAAAAAAGCTGGATTCGGTCCATATTTGAATAATCAACATGAATTTATATTCTGTTGACGCATTTGAAGCATACTTAAGTAATTGTTAGAGCAATGGATCCTTGCATCTTATTACAAGTAAACTAAATGACAAGGTGCTGCGATAACCATTTAAATAACGTGCAGCTTTAACCGTGTCGAAGCACTTAATAGCATCTTCGAAGCGATGCTAACTGGAAAAATACTTTGAGTAGCTTCGACAAGCAAGAGCTCCCCCTAATTGGACAAATGCATATTTAAGCTCATTGTGTCTAAACAAGTAAAAGCTCACTATTCGTTGCCCGACAGATATTTCTTTCTCGTGATACCTCAGGGACCATGTCCAATTGCTAAATGGTGCTGTACATTAGTAGACCCCAACAAAGCACTAACACGGTCAACGATAGTTAAAAGAGAAGCGCGTCTCTCTCACTTAGAGAAAATATCAGCGTGGACCAAAATGGTAACTTTGCACGAGCGGTGGTCCGGTCGACATGAATTTAACGTGCTCAGCGTAAGAGTGATGATTTAACTAGAATGTCAACTACGCAGGGGCGTGCTGATGGCGCTAGTCAGCTCTTAGAGTCGAGGCAACTGTCTCTTGTGAGCATTGTGCCGCTCCTCTGTACGATACAAATGTATAGTACAAGTAACCTGAAGTCGTTTATGTATAGCAATGCAGTTAGGCTCAATACTGCCGGTTCAATTTGAGACAACCCAAAACAAAATGATACTTATGAACCTAAGTACGAATCGCGATTTAAGCACTCTAAACGAAAGCGGGGCGTCTCCTCTATCTTTTAAGCCCTTATAAGCTGCAGAATGCTTAAAACTGAAGAAGTTGTGGTCGCTCAAAATTTTATCTTCATTTATTGGCCCTCGAAATGACTATACATTTAGGAGTGTTGTGAGCTCAATATTGTTTTCAATTTTAGAGATTTAAGTGTTATTTAAAAGCTCTTGCTAAAAGCAATTGAATAAGGGTAGTTTTAAAGTTGTTTCGATGGAAGTTTACAATAAATTTCACTGTTTCGGTTAGGTGCGAAAATCAATTGGCCAACTTTAAGCTCGATTATAACTCTAAATGGTTCGTAAGTATCATTTTGTTTGTCTTAGACATATTATGTCTTCATTGGTATGTGTACACCGTTCACTCTAATTAGTCGTGCTTCGAAATTAATCGTGCATTCGCGCTTTAGTGACGTCACAAATCTGGGATATTTTAGAAGGCTCATCAATTCTAGACAAAAGTAACGGTTTTGGGCAGATCTCGGCAATTACTTTATTCTATTGTGCTTGGTTTGAAATATGAGCTATTAATAGTAGTTTTTAACCCCTCTAGCCCCGCGATTTAGGGCAAAAATTACCCTGTATTATAAAGGATAGTGTTTTATCTTGATTTTACTATTTACGGAGTTTTGCGAAGCTCTCAATCCTTACTCCTTATCTACCCTGTTCCGTACAGGTTATCAGTCAATGTACGGGATCGTGTACTCTGTATTAACCAGGATTAACACATGAAGATGTAGAGAAAAATTCCAAAATTCTACAAATGCATTCACTCAAACGGACTACAATCATTCCTAGTGTTACGGGGTTGGCACTTCATACAGCTTTGTATTAGATGCACGCAGTTTCAATACTGCCTACGTCTCCTGCACTAACCTCGATTTCTGCCTCCCTTGAAGATTCGTTGGCCGAGCTTTCTTCTTCATCGCTGTCATCAATATTTTCTCCAGTGCGGCGCGAGCTTGAGCCGCTTGGTGAGCGCATGCGAATTGTCTTCAATCCAGGGGGTATACGAGCACCAGCGCACCAAAGGTTGTGCCAAATCTGGCTGCAAGTTGCTGAGTTTATTGATCCCGACGGGTCGTGCTGGCGAACCTTTTGGCATAGGTAAATCTTTCCTCGTGCCCCCGACTGGCGATTCATCCTTTCCTCTGAGCACTCAACGCAGTAAAAGGTAGTCTCCCACGGTGTCTTTGCCGGGCGAAGTAATGAACACACTTTGCATCCGTACTGACGTCTTTTGCACGATTCTTTTCCGGTTTTTGCTCTTGTCGTGCGAAAAATATCCACTTGGCGAGGTGTGTGATGAGCCGGGAGTGTGTAGCGAGGGTGTGTCGACGGCACAACGCTTGTATCAACCAAAGCTTCGACAGATAGGTCTCCTTCGAAGTCGGCAGCTCCCACGTTCAGCAATGCGACTTGCATAGATCTCATGAATTCTGCGTGCGTGGGTGGAGCACGACCTGAGTTCAATCTTGCTTTGACGCGGCGATGGATGATGTAGGCATTGACTAACGCCATGTCAATGAGTCCGAGAAAGATAGTATGATAGTACTTTTTTTTTTCATTTTCATCGCTCCCTGTAGTGTACAGGCTAACAATTGTCAATATGAAACTAAAGTAGTGTAGGATACAAATGGTAGTACATGTATTGAATATCGTTGGAGCCGCAACTGATCATGTATATCTGCGCCTCCCATGCCTTCTTGGTAGTCCTTGACGAGCTGGGGTGCTGGGACGTCAACAGTGTCAGCGCCTGCACGTCTTACCAAACTTACCACACCAGTACCGCAGCCCGTGGCAATGAAGTGAACGGGACGGTTGTCCATCCACAAAACTGCCACCATGCTTGGCTCTACCTTTGACTGTGCAATTCGATACAGCCCTCTCTTCATCTTCTTTGGCCTCTTGGCTTGCTTGTATGGAATCGTGTTGCAATATCCGCGCCGGTTCGTCTGAATGGTGCCCACGTGATAAAGACCCCGTTGTAGGAGATTCGAAGACAGCAGCACGCTCGAGTAGAACCGATCCGTAATGACGAGTCGTTTTTTCGGCAGTCCGTCGAGCACATCATCAAGGTTGCGAATTACCGCGTTTGGTCCCTAGTTCAGATCAGCACTATCACTCGTCAGCCGCCCTTGATAGATTTCAGCCCTGCACAGGATAACAATCACAACTTGTTAGACG